GATATGAATCCTGGTCACCCAGGTTGCAAAGCAGCAACCAACTGTTGCACCAAGGCCCACCCCTCTAAGGAGATCACAAATCTGTTCTCTTATTCTCTTCTTACCCAGAAAGTGCTTTGGGATAACCTGTAGACCAGCTGGCTGCATCTTGATATTTTTTGCTTTTTGTCTATTGATTGTAGAGGAACAGAAGCATAGTAGTGATACCTATAACCCTGGAATTAGATAGTGGCCCTTTACCTCACATATCACCATTCACCACTGTTAAGTTGAATGGAAATAAGTATACACGGGGACACAAGCTGTGAAGATTTACATTGGGGGCCATTAAAAGCTGGGGCATCTTACAGGTGCAGAGAAATAGTTGAATGCTCAGGACCCTAAGCATGCTAACTGCTAAGTGGGTCCAAGAGGACATGATGGTAAAGTCTTGGCTGATTAATTCTATTATTGTGGTAATAAATAAAAAAAGAAAAGTACATCAGAAGGGTGACAAGGAATCACCACAAACATCTTACAGAGAAGAAAAAATGAGAATACATCCAAAAAGAGAAGCAAAACAACAAAACTAGCTACTTGATTCCAACTCAAGAAGAGACCGAAAATTAGCAGCAAGATCTTCACTTGAGACTCCTTCAAATCTGGGAGTACAAGTACCACCCAGTCCATTATTCTTTTCCCACATAAGAGAACAATTTGATCTCCACCCCAAGCCTAGTCTTCAAATATCTTTGCCTTGATGAAAAAACGTATTCAGCCCCAAACTATCTTTGCCTTGATGTTTCCTCTCATTGTAGGCCAACAACAAAAATATCTGCCGGAGTCCTTGGTTCCACCATATTAGTTTTGAAGAATCAAAAGAAGAATCCCCATATGAATTTTTTAGGATGTCTCCAAAGAGACATCCAAAACATAGATGCAAAACATTCTCTTCAGCAGCTTCACATAACTAACATCTTGCAGCCAACTGGATCCCCCTCTTTGTAGAAAGACTTAACAGAGAATTTTCCATTATTGGATTCCTTCCGCCACCTCCCTCCTACCCACCTGCATCTCAACAAATTGTAATTTTGATATCAATTCCACACATTCTCCAAGCTCCTAATCCAACAGTGGTCTTCTAAACTTTGCACACCACATCACCCTTCCTTGAATCACTTAAAATTTTTCTGTAAAAGAGGTTTTTTTTTGATAATTGAAGAAAAGTTTATTAGAAACTGTATAGAACAAGTAGAAATATCCCATAGAGAGGCACAAGTGCGACCCTGCTCAAATGCATTGAGCAACTCTGTAGTTTGTTTTTTGATATGATGTTTTGAACAGAGGTACTTTTCTTGCTTAATCTATACAAACGTGGGCAAAAATCACCAAATTTTCTAATCCCTGTCCAATCATCTTCCAAAATTTTATTATCGAACCCTCCCAACCTTAAAAGAAACAAGATAAAGAAAGGCTGACTGAAAACCCATTCACTTTCCACACGCATGCTCCATAAGAAGACTTCACCTCCTTAGTGTCCCACCCAAACCTCACCACTCCATATTTACAAGCCATTACTTTCCTTCACAAAGCTTCCCATTCCAACCCAAATCTCCATAACCACTTTCCAAGTGATCCCTTATTAAACAATTTTACCCTTCTAATTTCCAAACCCCCACCTTTTTATCCCTACAAACTCAATACCATTTCACTAGATGATACTTCCATTGCACTCCTTTAATACATCATAGGAACACTTTCTGCATCTTCTCAATTGAATTTTCCAATGAAGAAGGAATTTTTAGCAAAGATAAGTAATTGAAACTAAAGCTATTGCACCTATTGGTAATCCCAGATATGTGAACGAGAATTCCCCTACCATACAACCCAGATTGGTTGCACACTCCTCTAAATAAGTTTGAGAACTGTTGCCCACAATAATCATCACATTTTTCTTCAAAGTAGTCTTTTGCCCAGCTAGCACCTCAAATTCAGCACTTGATCAATTGAAGCTCCCAAGAAAATCGATGTACCAACTACAAAATGAAGTTGCATAACGGAACCATCATCCCTAACTGCTTTGAATCCTTTGAGCATTCCCAAATCTGCTCCTTTGATTAGTCAAAATTTCTGCAAGCAACATCTCCAAGCCTGGAAATAGGAAAAAGGGTGTGAAACTCACTAAAAAATTGAAGAGGGAAAAAGAAAGAACCAAAGCTAGGAAAAAGGAAGAATTTGGAAAGTTAGAGGATTCTAAGGAAAATATTGCAAAAAGGATAGAGGAGATGAACTTAAAAGAGTCCCAAAGAGAGTATAGTGGGGAGGATAGATCAGAAAGATGGAGGCCAAAAGTGGAGTTGGAAGAGATCTTGCATAAAGAGGAAATCTCCTGGAGCCAAAAAACCGAGGTGTAAGTGGCTTTTGGAAGGAGACGGTAATACTAAATTCTCACTCCTCGGCAAATGGGAGAAGGAGAAAGAACATGATCTCAAAGCATTGAAGTGGATGATCAAGTTTTATGTGGGGAAGAGGATACTGTTAATTTGGTAATTGAGGGAGATTCCAAGGTGGTTGTGGGTTGGTTGGCAAACCCAAATACTGTTAATTGGGATTGTAGGGATCTCCTAAGAGGAGTCAATTGGCTTACAAGAAGCATGTCAGTTAATTTTCAGTGGGTTAGCAGATCAGCAATTGTTTTGGCTGATTCTCTTGCTAAACAAGGGGTCTCAAGGGTTTCTTTGTACTGGGCAACTTTGTAAGCTGATTTCTGTTTAGTGTGAGTTTTATGCTTTCATCTTTAAAGAAGAGGTCGCATCTCATGCCTCTACTTAGGCTGTTTGTATGCTCACTGTTTCACTATTAGTATCAATTTCTTTCATTTATCAAAAAAAAAGAGGAAACTGTTACGACTTTTGTGGACCACTTCAAAGCACTCTTTCCTAATCCAAAAGAAAGGAATCTAGACCTTCTAGAGTTACAATGGGACAGAGTGTCCACTACCCAAATGTTATCTACAGAGAGAAAATTTAGGCCATGTTTGTGAGTGCTTAAAAATAAGTGCTTATTTGGGCCGGGACCACACCATTAAGCACTTATTGGTGTTTGGGAAATAATCCCAGAATAAGTGCTTAATTTAAAAATAAGGGCTTATTTTTTAAGCTCAAATTCCCAGGTTTTTTTAAGTGCTTAAACAATAAGCACTTATTCAATTTTTTTTCTACCAAAGCTGTCCCCATTTAGTTTATACAATACCAGGAAGGAAACCACCAAAACTCCAAACTAAGATCAGACACTGTGCCTGCCCCAAGCTCAACCCCAGAGGGATAACAGTTCCCTAGAACCCACTTCCGACAACATGAGCAGACCCGTCGCAGCTGGGCATGGGGTTATCAAAAGGATTGCACATGAGCAGACTCCCTCCCTCTCTCGACCCCAATAGTATGACCTACTACCAAGTTGTGGCCTCTCTATGCCTCCCTCCTCCATCAAAATCACTAAGTGTAAGTTTCGTCCCGTTGCTCTTTTTCTTTCCTGTCGTGAAACCTTAAAACCATGTACTGACCTGTTATTTCTTGTCTGCAACTCTTCTCACTAGTCAAGATCATAACCCTTTCCCGTGTAAGGAATTGAAAGGATCTATTCAAAGAAATTTGGGGTTACAGATCCCTCGCCCGATAAGCCAGAGAAATTTGGGACTTCGAGGGATTCTTATTTAAAGACTCAAAAAAAAGGGAAACCAACAGGGATAGAGAGTTTTTAAGAAAGAGAGAGAGAGAGAGAGCCTACCACCCACAACGTATATTTTGAAAATTTGAAAGAAAATGAAGGACAAAATAGTCACAAGTGCTTATTGGAGAAAAAGACTACCAAACACCCAATATGAAATAAGTGCTTATTTTTTAAAATAAGCACTTAAGATAAGCACTCCCAAACATGGCCTTAGTGAAGAAGACTTGTAGGGAGGTAGCTCTACCTATACATGACTCGACTAGACATTTTCTATGCAATTTGCGTGTCAGTATATGCAAGCTCCTAGTACATCACATTTGGCTGCAGTAAATCATATTCTTGTTTATTTGAAGGGGAATCCAGGTAGAGGGATTTTGTACAGGAAGCGTGAACATATGAAGGTAAAGCATTATATAGATGCATATTTTCAATGATTTCAGCCAATTTGCCACCTCCCATAATATCAATTAATAAACATCCTCTATGGATATTCTCTTTTCATTAAAGATCCTCTTATTCCTCTCCTCCCAAGACCATAATATATCTGCCCTTACACATCTTTACATAATTCTGCCTCTTCTTGTCTTAGGATTAAAGACTACTTTTAAATAAGGTCTCTTCATTCCCCTGGATACCAACTGTTACCAAAATAGAGAAAAAGATTTTTCCCATAGACTAGAAGGATAGTTTTGTCAGAAATGTGTGACAAACAACAAGTTCGCATCCTTTTTGTAAAATGTCACAAGTGTCACCCCTTTGTTTTTCCCATCCTGCTCTAATTCTATGGGTGACATCCTCATCAATCCCTCCCTTGTTATGAACTATCGAACTAAGGTACTGAAAAAGGTCACATTGAGTTATCTCTTGGTTTCAAATCCTAAACGTACCCTGATTTGCACTACCAGTGTTATTAAATTTACATGCCATACATTCTGTTTTAGTCTTTACTTTAGAACCTCTTGTTTCTAAGGAATTTGTACATAAACATAATTTTGCATTTAATCCTTTGTTAGTTTCATCAATTAAAATGCTGTCATCAACAAACAATGGATACCAATGGCAAAACATTAGGGAGGAATGAACTATTCTGGTACCCTCCAACATGAAACAACATTATAATTTTAAGTAGTACACAGCTCCAAGTGGCTATGCTCTCAATCCCAACCCTGAGCTTTTGAATGATGGTTTCATTACCTTTTTCTCTATCAGATCCAATAAAGTTTTCAAAATTCCAGTACATTTACAAACATGGAAAATGAAAACTTAGTGTTTTCAACAGTGAAAAGATTTACCTCCCCCAACCGGTCTCTGGCTCCAAGCAAGAAACCCACAACAGCTGAAGTAACAGTGTAAAAGATGTGAACATCTAAGAGATAGATCTGCACAACAAACAAACATAGTGAATCAAGATCAATAAAAAAACAAAAAACTTTTCGGTGCAAACAAAAAGTACAACATATATTATGGTACCAAAGCTCAATTATTCGATAACTAATTCAAGTTAAATTTGGACAGATTCAAGTCCTCTAATATATGGTACACCATGTATTGATCTCATGCTGCATTGTCTGTCTGTGATGGCATGAATAGAAAAAACAAGACAAAGCAACGCCCAGATCCAGGGGCAGTGACATGATGCAAAATGTAGCAAATAAACAATGTCCATTGGAGATGTGCCCCCACTGTGGTTTCTAGCCCGGACAGCAAGACATGTATATATAAAAAAAAAATGTCTACGAGATTAGTGATGCCTAGAAAACAAAAATTAGGAGGTAGGTTGCTAATTATAATATTATTAATATGGCTGCATCTTATTAGCAGTGTAACCAAAGCATGAACCAGTCATCAACTAGTCCACTACAAATTGAGGGAATGATGGTCAAATTGATTGCAACATTAGAATGTTTAGTTACTGTTGTAAATATTCTATTATTACGATGCTGTGGTACTTGTGTCCTTTCCTATGTTTAAATACACTAAATAATACACTAGTGCAGGCACTGACACACACACATGGTATTAATTAAATTCTTCTCCATTCCTATCTTTTCTCCTTCTCCATAAGATCTTTGACAGTTTACAGTTGCTACTCATGATGTGATCACATGAGACAACAAAACATATACTAAGTCAACTGGTCAATTCGCAACAAGGGCCATTAATCAACCGCAAAGATTCCTTTAAGTTTACTTTTGCTTGTCTTTAGCTCACATAATCATCTAAGTCTTCTCCCAAATATATGGGGTTGGCTACATGAAGCCAGTTTTACCATTCCATTCAGTTTAGTGCCTTATCCATTGTTAAATTATGAGCGCTTAAATTGTTTTTACTACTTCAACCCATGTTCTTTTTGCTCTGTCCCCAGCCCTTTCAACTTGCAACAGATCACTCCTTACAGGTGCTGTAGATGGTCTTCTAGGTTCCTTCAAATGATGGCATTTTTCATCCTTTCCTTTGTGGTTTTTCCACTCATCCATCTCAGCATAAACATTTCTGCCACACTTATTTTTTGGGCATGTTCCTTCTAGACTACACAACACTCTACTCCATATACCACCGGTGGTAAACTTTTTTGTAGAATTTTACCTTCAACATAAGTAATATTCACTTAGATCATAAGACTTTGAATGTATCCCACTATTTTGCCCATCCTGCTCTACTTCTATGGTGATATGCTCCCTGTTCTCTCCCTCGTTATTAATTATCAAACAATGGAAGAGGTCACATCATGTTATCTCTTGGTCCCCAATCCTAAGTGTACCCTAATTCATTGATTGAAAGGTGCCCTTTCAAGGCTTGCGCCTTTCACCTCAGCCTGTTTTTTGCTAATATTATTCATTCCATTCTTCCTAATACAAAACATTTTTTGAAAAAATATGGAACTAAAAATAAATTCTAAAAATAATCTTTTATGTAGGGGTTAAGAACAAAAAATGACCCATAGAATTAAAGTAATGCAAATAAGAAACAAATAATGAGCTTGAAGGTTTCACGTGCTTAAAATGATGACTGCTTGAATACATTTTATATGTCATGTTTAATTTTATTTTAACATTTTCACTGTGCAAATGTTTGTGTGTTATGTTTATGCATTTTATTTTTATTTTTTGCAAGTTTTTTTCAAATTGATTGCATTTTATGCTTTTTTGGATTTTTTTTAATTTTACACATTTCTTCAAAGAGGAGCACACTGCACACCTCTCCTTGCACCTTGTGCATTTAACAGACTGCCCTAATTTGCTCTCCAATTATTTAACATAATTGCATTGCATATATTCTTTTTTAGTCCTACTTATATTAAAACCTCTTGTATTTAAGGTAACTGTCCATTAACTTAATTTTGCATTTAATCCTTTGTCAGCATCGTCAAATAATATAATGCCATCATGTCTAGTCAATTTATCTAAGATTAGGGCCAATAAAGGCAAAGTGCTGAGCCCTGATGAAGACCCATTGTAACTGTAAAATCTTATGTCTCTTCTGCAAGTGTTCTAACATTGGTTGTTGCAACCATTGATCTTTATTTATACAGAATAATATAATATTATATTTTTATTATTAATATGTGTACTCTTACTTAAGCATTTGTGATGGAACACATGGATTATGGTTTATAAACAAGAAATAAAGAAAAAAGATGGAGGAATTTTCTTTTTTACTTTTCTTCCAATCCATGGTGTGCTAGTATGGAAATGGCGCAATGCCACAAACAAGAGATCCATCAAATGGCCAAAGGTTGCAATCTTTCTTTGAAAAAACTTAACTGCCAGTCCTAGCCTATCCGGCCTAACTAATTTTGTGTTCACAAACAAACACTGTAAATGAAAATGTTCAGTATCATTCTTTATGTACTAGAGCAGCTAAAATTTGGACGGTTTTGGAAAAAAGAAATGTAGAAATATCCAAGACAGGTATGGCACAAAGGAAGCAATAATAGAGAACACCTCCGTCTGAGTTGCACATGGGTTAAGACACTGGATAAATTTGCTGATTTCTTAACAAGTAAAATTATTGGATGTGGGCAAGTGGAAGCCCAAGCTCTTCTGGTAAGAAATAAAGTTTCCTGGATCAGACTCCACCAGCACAAGGTAGGGTCAAGATGAATTTTGATGATTGCAGCTTAGGCAACCTGGGACAGTCTGGAATGAGTGGTATTTTCAGAGGTATTCAAGCTCATATGCCGTACTTATATTTAGGGCCAATGGGGAAGGGGACCCTCCACAAAAGCAGAACTTCTGGCAGTTGATCAAGAAATCAAACAAGCTAAAGCTCTAAGTTTCAACAACTTGGTAATTGAAGGTGACTCCAAGGTGGTAGTTGGTGGATAAGAGGAAGCCAGGAGGGAACATGGACATAATAGGAACACTTTGAGAGAGATGCAATTATTGATAAGAGAATTGCTTACTAGCTTCAGTTGGATCAAAAGATCCATTAACGGTCTATCTCTTGCAAGGCATAGAGTCCAACGAAGCCAGCTATTTTGGCTATTAGTCAAGGTAGCTTGAGGTCTAACCTAAGGAGTCAGTTGGTGTCATTTTTCTTTGTATATAATCATATTATGTCTTGCTTGTAAATGACCCATGTAAAATTATGTTTTAAGCAATAAGATTTCTTACCCATCCAAAAAAGAAAATTCAATATCTACATTGAATCATTTAGGGGTAGCTTATAATTTTTAAAACACAGGGGTGTACATGAGCCTTTCCATTATCCAAAGGCATGAGGCACAAACCAGAACACAAGAGGCATAAGCTTCACAAGCATGGATTTTTTAATTAATAAATAATTAAGAAAAATGCATAGATAATAAATAAATATAGTAGATATCTCAACAATAAGGAACATTATGGGAAATTAATAAAATACAGATTTGCAATTTTTAATAATAAAACCATCACATTTAAATATCAAATTGAAGTATCACCATATGAAGTATCATAATTATACAAGTACCATAAGCTACAATACATCATTTGCAAAGCTGCAAATCAAAATTTCGGAATTAGCAATTCACATAAATTGCATGATATTAACAGAAATATGCCTGTCATCTAATATGGAAATGAATGTAAAGCATTGAAAGCAAACAATGAAGTGGTGCCAACATTTCTATTTACGGTTTTCTATGAGTATTCTAATCAAATGTGGAGGGTCTTTCTCCTCTGTATTATTTAAATATGTAACAGGATGATAAAACAGTACCCCCATTTTTATTTATAATATTTTATTACAAGAATTGGCTAGGCCACTTTTTGGCACATAAAACTAGGGAATTAACCAGAAACTTAGTTTTCTTTTTTTGCTGTGTTCCATTGACTAGGACACTGTAGCCTAGAATCACCCACATGCACTGACAACATTAACCTAAGAGACCAAATCTGGATGACTAGGCTAATTAAACCAAACACACCCAGGTCATACGGGGGTAAGCGATACAATCAATTCCAACAAAAAAATCAATGATTCTGAATCAGTTTTAGATAAGTTCTGACATAAATTAAGGGATGCATTTGATGAGAAAGAGATGGCTGGTGGTCAGGTTCAGTTACGTGTGCAACTTCAATACTCAACTTAAAGAGTTTACACTGTAGAAATTTTAATAATTCCCCAACCCAAGCCAGCATAAGTTGCACCCCTAGGTTCAGTTGGATGAAATTCACCAGTTTCTAACGTAACAATAAAGTAGTGATCAGGAAGTACAGGTTGCTAAGTCTTCAGGTTAATTCTTTTTGCACAATGAAGATCCAACAACAGAAAAACTCGTGAAGATAGGATAGTAGGAAAATAATTGCAAACCCAAATGCCAGAAAAAAAACAGGAAGAATGGGATGTGACATTCTAACCAAGTGGAAACATGTGTAGAAGGAATGTCAAATTCACCCTGTCAAATTCTCTTGAATTGGAGGAGCCTAGATGTGAAGAGAGATACTGTAGCAGGAAACATGAGAAAGAGAGACAATGAAAGATATGAGAATAGGAAGAGGGAACATAGTTTCTTAGGCTTCTATTAACTGTCATGGATGGATTTGTGGGTAATAAAAAAGTGAAGATGATACAATTCTGTTCTGTGAGGGGGAGGATGTGAGATGGGCCAAAAACTTGAAGTTGGTGATTCAAGTGTTTGAACAAATGTCAAATATGAAGGTGAACTTCAATGAGAACTGTGTGGTGGGGATCAATATGGAAGAGAGAGCTATATTGGAGAGGGCTGAAGCTTTGGGTTGTGCGGTGTCTCAATGGCCGCTGAACTATTTGGGATGCCCTTAGGGGATAACCCGAGGAAAGAGAGCTTTTGGAGCCCCGTAATTGATAGATTTTCTAAGAAGTTGGCCTCTTGGAAGAAGAATTATTTATCTCTGGGTGGTAGAATTACTTTGAT